GCTATTACCATGAATAATTCCTATGGATATAACTACTTTAATCTTTTACATCACATTAATACTTGATTTTATTGATCTAACATTTACTGATTTTGAAGAAATTGACTTTTTGCAAACCTATTTTTATGAGGATAGATGCCTACCTATATGGATAGATGCCACGCAATGAAAATACTAAGAAGGATAGATGCCCTTTAGAATAAAATGGTAAAAGTCATAATAGAATGTTTTATTTGTAATCTTTAATATACTGTATATACATATTACCTCTTTAATAATAAATATATACATATTTAAAGTTACTACCTACTTCACTTCGTATTTTTGTAGCTACTAAAACATTCTATACAAAAATGTTCGCTGTTTGAACTGTGAATAATTTGTCTTTTTGGTACTTTTACTTACTTTTAAACTATTATCATTTACATATCTTTTTCACTACAATAATTTATTTTTTCATTTTCTTTTCCCAACTTTCTTGTCTTGTCCTTTGCCCCTAAGGGCACCTATACCACGAAAAATCGAGGCGACTATCCTATTCGATATGGATAGATTTTTATTACATAACTAAACGATATACAAAAGAGCGATTATTGACACCAACGTGCGCAGTTAATGAACCAGTGCATAGTTATTATAAAATTAAAACGGAATTGATTATAACTTACAAAGCTATGCGACAGTAAACACTTGTATCTGAAATTTTGAACCGTTTATCGTTTTCGTCGCGGAGATAAACGCATGCACAAGTCAAACGCGTCTATTCCACACGTCGCCCTGCAGGATCTTGGATGAGTGCTGTCTATACTCCTTATTTAAACTAATCATTCTTTGTTGCGATTTGGTGAAGTTTTTTGAAAACGAGGCACCAATCCCACTGCGGCATTTATCCCGGTTTTACCCTATATCCACGTCTTCATTATATTTTTTTTATAACGTCAAGTGCCGTAACGAGGAAGTCGTGCGCCTGATGGTAAGCTACACGCCTGTCCATAATAGTTGCAGTGCCACTCAGAGGTTTAAACTGCAAAGATCTGAGGGGCACTGCCACTGCATCCGTCACCGTGAGACATAAGTTGACAAGTCCCATATTAGAGTGATTTCACCAGCACCCTTACCCTTCAAAACCGGAACAGTATTGCTGACATTACTACTTGGCGGCAGAAATAGGTAAGGTGGCAGTACTTCCCTGGACGAACTCTTTCACAGGGAGCTCTATTGCTACCCAGTAATAAGTGACTTTGTTGTACTTTTTCATCTAAGCTTGTCGGGTTTCCTTTTTCTTTTTTGACGCCAACGGCTTCCAGAAGGTCGTAATTTATTAGCCGAAATCCTTTTAAGGGAATAATCAGTGCATGAAACCCAACAATATAACTGTGTGCACCCGAAAGTTGCGAAAACAAATTGGAATTCCACAGTCCATGACGACTCAATGTTAACTAATAATTACCATATCCTTAATTGCTGAGTAATGATTTCTCTAGGTATTGGAATATCGTGAAAGTTACGTGATTCAAAAGTTTTCTACGTGATGTTTTTGTTTTTTTTCTATGTTAGTGATGGGGCAGATATGTCGTCCGCCTGCTGGGAGAATGGAGAATACTCGTCCCTAAAACTTTATTATCATCGCTATTATAAAGAGTCAAAAACACTTAAAGTATCTTAAGAACCTGTTTTGAAATATGAACGGTAAAAGACAGGTAGGATAAGCGTGCTGCTAGAAAAAGATGGAAATACGTTTTTAACGACCGTACGAGAGAGATGGCAGTATCGCGTGACTGCAAAAACTTGATAGATGTTGAAGATGTAATAAGAATCTAGATATAGACTGGTGTAATTATGTGTAAGTATATCTCTAAGGGTAACACCGCAAGAATAAGTGAACATTATTCCGACGACGTCTGTGGTCGAGTAGCTCGCACATCGGTTTTCATGGTGTCGCCAGCTTTTAGGTCCCGGCTTCGATCCCCAACCGCCTCAATGTAGAAAACCTTTTCTATATTATTTGGGTGTTTCTGATATCGTTGTTGTTTCCGATTTCCGTAACACAAATACTTTAGAACTTACTTTGAGTTCAGAGCTACGTATATGATGTTGTTAACTGCCTCCGTTGCCGCACGGTTACCATGCTTGTTTGCCACGCAGAGGCCCCGGTTTCGATTTCCGGGCCGGGAGAAATATTTCTTCAAATATCTCTCGATAGTTTGAGTGTATTTTGTGTTTATGTATATGTATGTCCATGGTACACATGACACAGTGTTTCCCTAGTGCAGGGCAATGAGTGTGAGGGTCTAATGATTAAAGAATACATGTTTTACATTTTGAACATGTCGCTGTTTTTAAATGGCATAGAGTTGATTTTCAAGCTTCTTATATTCAACATTAGCCTTTTATTAGCAGTAGAGGTCCTGTGAAAGAATTTGTCCAATGACGTACTGCCACCTTATCCATTTCTGCCAAAAAGCAATAATGCGAGTATTACTGCGTTCCAGCTTTGAAGGGTAAGGGTGCTGGTGAAATTACATTTCTCTCAACATATGTCTCAGAGTGACGGGCGCAATGGCAGTGCCTGCCAGGTCTTTATGATTTAAAGCACTAAATAGCACTGCAATAGAAATGGACAGGAGTGTCGTTTACCACCAAGTGCACATTCGTCCCGCAACTTGATACCTAAAGAAAAAACCTTTTAACAGTCCTTTGCCTAAATAAAAGAAGTAATTTGTATGGATGAAACCTGAAAAGACTCGGTATTTTAAATTTTAGAATGAAAGCATTAAAAAAAGGTAATAAATAGGTAAAAACAAAAAAAAATTACAAATAATTTCAAATTTTGATTGGAACTGAAACATATTTTCCTGCAAATTATTAATAACAATTGCAGGAAACCTAAAAGTCCTTTAAAACACAGTAATATACGTATTGTATTAAATTCAATTACAAAACTTAGACTTATTAAAACCAAAATTGAATTTTAAAACAGCACGTAAATATTTTGAAACAGTCGTTAAAACCTAAAACATGCTCACCTGAAATTATTCGAAATGCGCTTTCGCACTTACTACAAAACACCGACGATATGATCGAAACATCGAGGAAAAAACAGCGTTAAAGTCAAAGTTTACAAGTAAATAATAATATTTTTCTGTGTATTTACGTGAATAAGCCCTATTAAACGCGTCACACGTCCTAGAGATACGTTGTTATAACCCATAATTTTGTTAAAAAGTTATTTAAAAATTTTATAATTTGTTTTTTTTAATCGTGGATGAAAATACAGCTGCCCGTTAGAGACACTATGCATCTCTGGCACGCTACAGTATCAAAATCGTTAGAGACACCATGTGTCTTTAGGACGCGCGGCGGTTTAAGGCGAATAACAAAGCTTTAATTTTTTTATAACATCAAGTCACGTGACGAAGATGTCGTGCATCTGATGGTAAGCTACATGCTTGTCCATAACAGTTACAGTGCCACTCAGAACTTTATATTTCAAAGATTTGAGGGGCACTACCACTGCGCCCTTCACCCTGAGACATAAGTTGACAAGTCTCATGTGCCTGTAATTTCACTAGGATCCTTCAAAACCGAAACACAGTAATGCTGAAATAACTACTTGGCGGTAGAAATAGGTAAGGTGCTTCCCTGGACGAGCTCTTTCACAAGGAGCTCTACTGCTACTAAGTAGACCGAACGACCATGGAAAATAAATGCAACTACATCAATAAATATTTTTTTAAGAAAATTGTCTTTTACAGATGTAAAAGATGTACACACACGCGGACACATATAGATACATTCTCATCACAATCCCAGACAATTGAAAATGTCGTCCCATTCACAAACCCATGTTTTATTCAGCTGTCGAAATCACTCGCCCTACTAGAATACTAAAAACTAACAGTAAAAAAACAACTTCCTTTTCTTTCTTTTTTATATTAACCGAATCATACGTTCATAGATACAAAAACAAAAAGTTCTATAAACTAATGCAGGTACGATTCAAAATGTAAACAAAAATAATTCATTAAACAATCATGACCTAACGCGCAGTAATACAAGACGTCTCTACCATATTTTATTTGTCTGTGGCAGTAAAGGAAAAACTTTTATACGAAACGTTCGCGTTTATACTAGCGTCTCGTTTTTGAGGCTCTGCAGTAGTGAAAGAGAGAGAGGGAGTGATACAGCTTTCTCACGTGCGAGAGAGTGAGAAATATTATTGCACCGGTAGTGAGGAGTGAAAGAGATCAATAATGAGGGACACGACGAGTTGAAAAGGGATTTCAGATTAAGGTCGTTGTCGGGTCAAAGATTATTATGGTTTGAATATTTAAGACAGGTAAATAGGTCAGTTAGAAAGAAACATAGTTACTGATGCGTCATGCTTAATTATTAACGGGCAATTCTTTACGATGAACACTTCTTTTCATCTGTTCATGGCTCACTTTTGTATAATATTCATTGGTAGAGCAAACCTAAGTATTATAAGCAACTGTAGTTAATGTTTAAGTGGTTCATTTTCCTTCTTTTTATTCGTCATTACGAATCTACTTTTTCTCTAATTATTCGAAATCTAATTATTAGCCATTTAAAAACAAACTTTATTCTAATTTCAAGTTTATTATATGTGTTATTGAGGATTTTTCAATAATTTCAAATAAATCAATAACTAACCTACAGAGAGCCACCACGATTTGTCTGCAGAATAAATTGTATTAACACGGTAATTCAAAATTATAATTAAATTAACCAGCACTGTTATAATAAGCATTAATAAATTTATCCTTGTAGATAAACCTTAAAAGTAAAATGCAAATTAAATTTGCAGTTGAGATGTATATTGAATCTTATGCATAGTAGCCGTAAGTGTACATGCACTTACCGACATAATATGCGATTTACTCTATTAAGGTATACATTATTGACCTTTCTGCATATCGATAATCTTTGCCTCCTGGCCTGGCCGGGCCTAGCAGAGCTTACACACACCCTCAGTCACCGGCCAGCCGTCGGAGAGTACGTTGTGCGCTGGCTTTGTACCAGCCAGCTTTACGCGGCATTTTGAATTTCGGAAAATCGAACGCGAAAAAAAACAAACCATAAATAACCATCAATTAGTGATACCAACCAATAAGTGACAAGTGTTTTTGGATTTGGAACACCAAGCGTTCGAATTTTGAATTCGGAAAAACAATGACTGAAACACAGGTGGATTAAAATTTCGTGCCCCGTGTTGCGTTGTTCATAAATTTTCACGTCTTCTGTCATACATTAAGTAACTATTTTTTTTTGTGGCATTATACAGTGATGTTGACTGTAGATTACTGTTAGGTACAAATTGTAAAGTGATTAATTATTCGCCTGAAGGATTATGCTGTGAACGTTTTTGTTTCGTGACTACGTGAAGGTTAGTATAACAATCTTTTTTCTTTTACCAAGAGGCGGAGGTGTAAATCACAATTTCGTGTATGGAATCATTACAGGGTTTTTGACGATTTCGATTATTATCTTGGATATAAATAAACATGGTGGAAACTATTTGATTATTTGTGATAATCATGATAAGGAAATAATGCCACGTAGAAATGAACCGAATGGCCTTCCATTCCATGAAAAAATACCTTAATAACAATACGTTTAAACTTTTCTTTGACAATTTTTGTTTTTAATTATTTTTTTTTTGCAATATTAGGATAAATGTGACGTGGCTTTTAAAAAGAAAACGTCATGCTAATAAAATTCAGTACATTTTTCTATAATTACGTGATAAAATAGCTTTTGATTACAATTTTTTTAACAGTTATAACTATAACTCATACATATTTTTCTGAGTGTTCGATCTTTGTATTAATAATTATAACAAACTACTGGTGTAATTTCACAAAAAAATAATTGAATATCAATTAAATAAAAATTTAAAATATAACTCATACAGTTTTTTTCTTTTAACTCGTACTTGTGTCGTAGGACGAAGGTTCATTTTAGTTTAGTTTTAAAAAAACCTTATCCCTTCTCGTAGTTCCACACCGTAGACGCTACGTAGCCTCGTAGCATAAAACTTCCCCTAAGTGATAAACGCGGTATACTCAGCAATTTATTTCCATTTATTCACCCTATATCGAAGGGCGGAGTAATTAGAAAAGAAAAATTATTTTCCTTTCCTCCCTCTGATTAAAAGTAACGAAAAACCTAAGATTTAAATGTTAACTTTTAAACTTGTCAAACTTCAAAAAGTTCTGTATTAATGTACTGTCCGCTGTTGGGCACAGGTTTCTATCTGAATCTAAATTGAAAACATTAACGAAGATATTGTGAAAACTCAAGATTTTCCGCCTTGTTTTTTTCTTCGGTAAAAATCATTTAGCCGTGTGATTTATTCAATGATCAAACTGTTGAACGAGTCAGTGGGCTTGGACTTTCTTTCAGGAGGAATTCTCATACTCTCTCAAGTCGGTTTATGTATGCCGAGGTTACAATTTATAAATACACGCACATGGTTAGTATACTCTCAGTGTTAAAATCCCTGAAACAACGTTTGAGTGAAACAACAAAAAACAAAAACTATAATGTAGTTAAATTTGTAAAACCGGGTGAAACCATTTTCTTCGATTATAACAATAATTTCGGTCTCTAGCCCGTAAACAATGAAAATTCAAGGTGGGTCGAATTATGTGTCCGTGAGTGTATACACCATTATCTCTAAAATACTAACAACCTCATACAATAACATTTGTTTCATGACTTTCAAAATAATTCATCACATATTTATTTTATTTTTTTAAATAAATCTTTTATCATAAACACAACACTTAGCCACAAATTCAAAGCCCGCGAAACTGTAGAGCTGTTTATTGGCGGAGACACGCCTCTCATGTTTAGCAACATACCTTACCTGTCGTACATATCACACAAATGAATTTCATACAGTACACACTTATAACACAGATTATCAGAATACAACGCTTACTCATCTGAGATTTGTGACAACAATTTATCTTTCGTTTTCTTTTTAACTGTTAGATTAGATTATTCATTTCGTCGACATTCAGATCATTCAATATGACAGGTGCTAAATAATTTCTAGTTCTTTGACAAAAGTAATTTTTTGTTACTAGGTACAATTCTTTATTTTTAATCTATACATCTATAATTTTACTTTACTTTCCTAAAAATACGAAAATATTTAAATATATCCCGCTAATTGATGATAACACTGTGCGGTAACAAAAGAAAGCGCTAGCGTAATGTGTGTGATTTCATTTTTTATAAAATATAAGTGCGCATTTGACCTCCATCTCACCTGATGGAAAGTGACGATCAGGCCGACGATGGAACATACACACCTAAATAATACCTATTCATTCTTGCCTTGAAAAGGCCCAAGTTATAACGTTCAGGGAACAAGTCTGCAGGCAGGGAATTCCAGTCCATAGCCGTTCGCCATTTATATGTGGAAGCGTAACGCTTCTTTGGAATATCCACAACATAGGGGTGGAACCCTCGCCTACGCCTAGTCCCTCGCTGAGGGAAAGGGGAAGGCGGAATTAAATCGTGTAATTCCATCGCACACTCTCCGTGACATATCCTGTAAAATACCGATAAGCAGGCAACTTTACGGCGGGGTTCAAGGCTCTGCAGTTTCGCCTCCACTAATTCCTGAATTAACTTGCTACCAAAGACAAATCTAAAAATGTCAGATAGTATAATAAAAACCTAAATGTTTATTTTTGGTAAATTTGTTATGTTTTGTAAAACATCATGGAAAAGCCTTAAAAACGGTACCTATTTCTGCCGCCAAGCAGTAATATGGGCATTGTTACGTTCTGCTTTTGAAGGGTACTGGTGAAATTACAGGCAGATGAGACTTGTCAAGTTATGCCTTAGATCTTTGTGATTTAAAGCTTTGAGTGGCACTGTATTGGACACACCACTCTCGGTCTCTTTGAGAGATTCCCTGTAATTGCTGGTAGTGCCATGTTAATTAGACTATATAGGTCACAACAAAGCTAATAATTAATATGCACATTACTAGTAATATTACCTGTCACACTGTCTATACACATCTTCCGAATTGATTTCTCAATAAAAAAAATATAAAAGATACGTTTCAAGTTTTATTAAAGCCAAATTAGGAATTCCCTCTAAAATTATAAGCTAAGGTTCTTCATTAACGTAAACATATAATTTTCGAGGTTTCAGCGTGTTGTCACAGTATATAAAATGTACAGTGTGTTTACTTTAATAGCAAATAGAATAACTTTAACAACATTATATGAATTGACAGAAGGGAAAAATCGTGCACATAAATATATCACAATTATAAATACAAATATCAAACACAAAGAAAAATTCCTTTGACATAACAGGACCTGAACCTGTGTATGTGCTAAACCAGGGTCTTTGCTCTACCAAATGAGCTACACCTCGATCAACAGACCTTACGAATTTGATCTGTAAAACTGTTTGTTACAGATCTTTTATTATCTATCGGCTTTCGATCTTTGTAACTAGTAGCTAGAGAATATTATAAATACATTGTATAAATCATAATACCATTTTTAGTAGCAGTAGGGCTCCTCCAGGGAAGTACTGCCACCTTACTTATTCCTGCCGCCAAGCAATAGTGTGAGCATTACTGAGTTCCAGTTTTGAAGGTGCTGGTGAAATCACAGGCACATGGGACTTGTCAACTTAATTCTCAGGGTGTAGGGTGTAGTGGGAGCGTTCCTCAGATCATTGTGATTTGAAACTCTGAGTAGTACTGCAACTGTAATTGACAGGCGAGTCGCTTACTCGTCACTTATTTATATTTAAAAAAAATACTAAAAAAAATACGCATTTATTTGTCCAGAAGTAAGCACTGTGGATGCTAGTTCAAAAAAACCCGGCTTCAATTTCCGACAGCAGAACTTTAAGATCGTTGCTCGGGTATTCAAAATACTAGGAATTCCCTTGTTTGGGTTCTAGTAATTTGTGAAGGTGACTAGCATAATATTACTATCATATTATTTGAAAAGGAAAACACTTCAGTCAAAGTTTAACCGTATAAATTACATTACTGAGTTCTATTCAAAACTTTGTTCAAGTCTCGTGATAATTATCTTTCAGGTAGTAATTAGGAGACGTGTGTGTCATTGTTAGGAGCGTTGACGCGTATCTAAGCATGACTTACGAGATTGCAAAACACGATAGTATTCAGTCAGTTGGTTATTACAATATAGACTCTGTGAATGGTACGCATTAGGTTGACATTAGTAACAGGATATTTGTGGAAGAGATTTCCCTTTGCAGAAAATTAAACTTTTGATTGCATTGTTTATATTTCATTATAATTTTATGTCTCAAATTTCCATACCGCAAATATATGGAGGTGGAAATTTGATACTTGAAGCAGCTACAGGAAAACGTTTTCACGACAGATCATCCCCAATGCTTGGAGTGCAACCACAGATGTCACACGGGCGTCGCGTAATTAAACAAAAGACAATACAATTCATGTGGACCGAAATATAAATTTTATTGTAGAAATAAGAAAGAGCACAGAATGGGAAAAGAATAAGTAAAGTAAAGGCGTAAAGGCTGCAACAAATCATAATGACAAAAAACAGGTACAATTGTATAAAAACACTCCCCACTTAAATTAAATACAGATTATGACAAAAAAACACTTTCCCCAAAAGGGCTTGTATTTTCTAGAAATACTATACTTTATAAGCAGTTCGGTTATATGATTTTCAGTGGTACTACAAATATAATACTTTCCAAGGAGTTAGGTTACATGAGTTTTAATGGTATAACTGGTCAGATTTTTATGTGAAGACAAGCACGTGTGCTCGCTTCGGATATTTAGTAGAGAGTGGGATCGGAAAGAAAAAAAAATGAGCAATGAAGAAAGGGAATTGAAGACCGATTCAAAATTTCAAAGTTCGTGACCAAGAACCAGAGAAAACGGTGATAAAAAGGTGAGATGACGATGAAAGAAATCGCATTACTCATTTACCTCCAAAACATCAACCAAAAACTAGCTCCACCTTAGTTGAACTGGCGAAAAGATTAAAAAGGCCAAAAGAAAACACTAATAATTCGCATCTTTTGGAGTTCTAACTCCTGAGGTTTTAGCGTTCATTATGTGTCCAAAATTATATGTACGAAAATTATATCAACGGACTGACTTCTGTAGCTGAAGGTTTGATGTTACCTTGATCAACGTTTGAGCATAGCTGCATTGTGTACATCCAGTCACTAGGGACCTAACGCTACCCGCTATCCATTAAATTTTGGTCCCAATCATAGACCGTATAAACTGTGATGAAGGTATCTTAGGTCTTGGTACGATACTATTTGAATATAGAATTGCACTTTCACTTTATTGAATTAATTTGAAAATCGAACAATTGGCAAGGCAAT